ATTCCTATGAACATGGAAAAAAAGAAAAATCGATATTTAAAGTGTAATTTTTTTGAAAAATATTTAGATATCGTATAAGCCTTGTGAGTTTTTTCCTACGTCCGTCTTTATCAAATGATTTCCTTGATTCAAAAACGACAAAACTTTCCTCGTTATCAAAACAGCTGTTGTTCTTGTTTCACTCTCTATAATTTATTCTAATACAAGAAGATGTGGTTTGCATAAAGTTGCAACCTTAAACAATTCAATTAATGCGAACCTCTAAATTTTATTTTTGTATAATTTTGATATAAAAAACTCAGCTTTGAGAATCTATTTTCATCTCTAATTATAAAATTTTTAACTTTAAATGTGGATCAAATCAAGTAGATCTATAAACACATGAAAATTTTGAAAATAGACGGTCTATATAATATGCTGTAAGATACACTATTTTAAAGATTCAAAAACTTTTTTTCTTTTTATATTCATATATCTCGATGTCGAGATTATCAATTTGAGAGTTTTCCAACATCTAAACCACCTTTTATGATGGATTTTTAATGTGAATGTATAATTCTACATTTTAAGGTTTCAACCTTATATAAACTTATTCTAAAATGGAATATGAATTTACTTTCATCCTATATCTACATGCTATTCTAACATTCTATATTTTATTTTAATCACTGGAACTGTGATGGACATTGCTGAGTCGGCGGGCTATTGCACAGCTGATCCAATTAACACACATCCCAACAACTCCAACGACCTCATTTAATGACTTCATTATTGCTTTCTATTATTGCTAGTCCACAATTTAATTACGTTTCTTATTTTAAACAAAGTCAAAAGAGACTTCATGCTCCTATGGGAGTACACTACCCATTTACTCCTTGTAGGTTAGTACTAGAGTAATTTAGGTCTTCTAATTCTTGGGATGTATCACGTCAACCAAGTCACCTAGTTATCAGTTTTAAAGAGCAAAGAAAAAATAGAAAGAAAAGCTTTCTATGGTCCCTCTACAGCGCATAAGTTCTATCTTCCCCTTTATCCAACCATCTATTTTTTAATGGAAGGTTAAGATTACCCCAATCACAATGTCACGTCATTGTTTTATTTATTTATTTTTTTCTATTAATTGTTTTGACACCAAATTTTGAACGTTCATTTCTCTATTAAATTCACACTAACAAAAAATATAAAAAACTATTTTCAATTAAATAAAGTGATCAAAATACCCTTGAAAGATTCAAGGGGTATTTTAGTAATTATTTTTTATCGAAAATTTATTGTCAATATTTTTTATAAGTATGCCCCAATGAGAAGCTGACACGTACCAAATTTCATATTCAAAAAAATTATATTAAAAAAACTAAAAATAAAATACTTTGAGATGTTGGATCTAAGATCAACGGTGAGTGACTCTCTTGATAAAAAAAATAGACGGCTGGAAGGAAGGGGGAGGATAGAACTTCTATGTTATAAGAAAAACATAGAAAGTTTTTCGAAAATAAAAATAAAATACACTCTTGTAAGTCTGAAAATGTAGATCATTGAATTTTTTGGTATTTTTTTAAGAACTGAAATTCTGAACTTTTTTGAAAAAAATTACCTTCTCATTGTTCAATATATCCAAAAATTTCATGAGTAACATTTTTTTCACTCGGGGGAGTAAGCAGACAGTATATGCCCCCACGACAACAAAGCGTGCGGGCTATTAAAATTTGTTCTCCTCGTCGTTTGAATGCGACTGGATTCTCCGGTATATAAATTTAGGAGTGATGTACATATGGACTCCAAAATTTTAGGTGAAATATAAAATACTCTTTTTATATATAAAAATTACAAAGAAGACTGATCAATAGTTTCTTATTTTTTTCAAAATTTCTTCTAGATCAACTTGAATTTTAATGTTTTTTTTTCTTTTTTCACGTTAGTATTGCAGTGCCGTGCCCCAAACTTTAAGGCACTGCCCTACAAATGAAAAACTTAAAAAAAAGAAAATTCTGACAGGCTGAGGTGTAATTTTTTTTTACAAAAAAAAAAATTGGTTGACCGACCTTCTTTATAATTTTTATATGTACTTAAAAGTTTATGTTCCGTATGTAAATCACTCTAAAGTTTTAGTTTTTATATGTACTTAAAATTTTATGTTCCGTATGTAAATCACTCTAAAGTTTTAGTGACACATACATTAACTTATCAAAATGCTCCAAACAAAGCTGGTTTGGACCAGCGCAGTCCATCACGAAGCTAATTTTTTAGTGTTAGAAACACATTATAATATATAAATAAAGTATACGGTTTGTATAGAGCCAAGGCTCTAAACAATCAAAGTAGACCGCACCTTCAAATAGTCTCAAGAGATGTGGTTTCAATATAGGAAATATTTGTGATAGCTTTAAAATATATTATCATATCTAATAATAAAATTTATAGCTTAAAAAATAGTGTAGATCGAACATATCTATGAAAACTTGAAAATCTTGAAAATTGACGGTCTAAAAATGCATTACAAGGTGTACTATTCCTAAATCTTGAAATCAATTTTTTTTCTCATGTCCGGGCATGTTGATGTCCAGATAATCAATTTGAGGATATTTAAACGTCAAAACAACTTTGAAATTTTTGAAATGCATTTTTATTTTATTGTTTAAAGCCCCGGTTCTATATAAACTTCTCCAATAAAAGCAATATAAATGATCAGTCATATACGTACAAACCCACCTTACTATAAATTAATTATGGTTTGTAAAATTTGTACGTCAACATCATCTCTTTAATTAAAAAGAGAGCGTTATTTATTGGGTGTGGTTCCATAAGGTTGCGACCTTAAATAATCCAATTAAGGTGCACCTTCGAATTTTATCATAACAAGTAGTTTTGGAGTAAAAATTTTTAAAAATATTTTAAAATTTATTTTTATATCTAATTATAAAATTTTAAACTTCAAAAATAATTAAAATCAAGTAGATCTATAAACATGAAAATCTTGAAAATAGACGGCCTAGATAATGTGTTGTAAGATTCACTATTTTTAAGATTCAAAATATTTATTTAATTCATAGGTCGAGATCAATTAGAGGGTTTTTTAATATTAAAATAGCATTTTTCAATAGATTTTTGAGATGCATCTTTAAATCTACATTTTAAAGTCGCAATCTCATATAAACTTTTTTCTTATTTATTCCCTTAGTTCATCGGAAACGTGGTGCAGGAGATCTCTAATAGATAAAGCCTATATTTCGGTCCATTAAAATTTAATTAAATATTACGTAGTTTTCCAGTGGACTGGTAAATAAACTAAGGTTCACTTTCACATATTTTAAAATTCGATTCTCTCAAAAAACTTGATGAATATAGTTTTTAATTTATATATATATATATATATATTAAGAACCTCGCTCTTCGTGCACCTCCCAAAGCGTACATCTGATATATATATATATATCTTAAGAACCTCGCTCTTCGTGCTACCTCCCAAAGCGTACATCTGTCTCGCCCTATCCACCCCTCTTTTTCTCTCTTAAAAAACCTCGTCATTCGAACCCCTGCTACAAACCTCTACTAACCTTTCCCCTTGTTCTTACTCGCCTCCTCTTTCTCTCCCTTCTATCACCATAACCCACGCCCTTTTTTTACCACAAACTCGCCTCCTCTTTCTCTCCCTTCTATCACCGTAACCCACGCCCTTTTTTTACCACAAATGGGTAGAGAAAGAAATAGGGAAAGCACAAGGGTAGGGAGAGAAGACTTCAAAGGCGTGTTTTCTATGGGCTTTAGGGCAGAGTTCGCAAAATTGAACTGAAACGGTTAATTGGATATGGTTATAGAGCTAGTTTAACCTGTCTAATTGGTAAATCGACCGATTCAATCGCTTTAACTGGGTAAATATCGAACGGTCAAAAAACGTGTTGAAAAATAATAAAAAAATAAAATTTTTTTTACTAAAATATAAAAAACATATAAAAAATCATTAAAACAAAACACATTTAAATAAAGTTAAAAATTAATGAAAAAAATGGATTTAAACCCATTTTATATTTTTCAAAGGTTATTTTTAATTTTTTTAAAAAAAAACAGGAAAATATAAACGTGAGTATTAATGGTCAAAACAATTTTTAATGTCAACCATAATGTAAAAAATATTTAAAAATATATTACAAATCAAATTATTTATTTTTGAAAATTTATATATATTTTTTTTAATTTTTTTTAAATACCAGTTATATAAATTTATATAATTTTTTTAAAAAAATTTATATTTTTTTAAAAAAAAATTTATATAAATTTTTAATATTTTTTTAAATCTACCCTAATCGCCTTAAATCCGACAGTTACCGGTTAGATCGAGTGATTTTGCAAACAATGTTTCATAAAAAAAAAAAGAACTCATTCCATCTACGAAACCAAAAAATCCAAAAAAAAGAGAGATATTTGCTGATGCAAGCAGTTGCCAAGCTCTCTCTAAAAACAAGTAGTTGCCGATCTCTCTCTCTAAAAAAAAGACTGGCCCTATTTCTTTCTCAATAATCAATGGCCCATCTCCCTTACTTCTCTCTAAATGGCCCATCTCCATTACATTGGCACAATTACCCCTCTTCCTCTCTCCACCTCACTCTCTAACCCTTCTCTCTCTTTCCCATGGGTGGGTCATCTTGTCCATGGGTTTTAAGCCTGGAGCATTCTGGGCTTGAAGTACGTATATTCTACTTCTCGATGACTCTTAAACGTGCTAGCGCTCCACTTTTTCTTTCTAAAAACACGCGAGCGGAAGACGAGAAAAAAGGCAGGCAAATCGCAGCATTAATTTCAGCGTACAGGGCGATCAAATAGTGTGAGTTCAACGCACAGATTGATTTGAATCTTAGCCATAATTACATTTCGTATTTAAAATTTAAATTGGCTATGTTAGAGCACATAACGATAGGTAGATCTAGATCTATTTCTGATAATTGTTTTTGATATAATTGATTAAAAAAGTAAGTAAATGAGCTAATTAAGAGAGAGGAAAGTACCTTTGAGAGGGATGTAACCCCTCTCCTGGAGTTCAGGGTACTGAAGGAAAGCCAAAAAGCTAGAAGCACTGGCAGGATAGAAGGCGATCCTTCGGATGCCGAATCCAATTGCAACCTGCTGTGTGAAGTTCATGGCCGTGTCCGAGATAACGCAGCTCACAGGTGGCACATCCGAGTCAGTCAGCCTTGCCAAAAGCTCCCTGAATGGAGCCACACAACTAAACCTGAAATAATAAAAATAAATCTCATCACCACTGCTGTAGAGCTCTGGTGTTTACTATATCATGTCTTTCTGGTCTTTAAAGGAACCTTGTGTAGTAGCAAAGATCAGGAACACTTTGTGTGGCCTCGATTTCGACGGGTGGCAAGCCGTCTGGGATGCAATCGAAGACAAAGCCGTCGACGCCCATCGATGGATCGGAGCCTCTTGATTTGAGAAGCCTTTGGTGGTTGTACTCTGTGTTGACAAAGGTTATGTGGAAACCTCTGGTGTGGAGGAGCTTGGCAAGCTGAACCATGGCGTTGATGTGGCTCTGTGCAGGGAAGGGCACACATACGGCATGAGGCTTGGTGGAAACTGTTGAGGCCATTTCTCTAACCTGGGCAAGTGCTAGGGCTAAGCGCTACCTTGGGGTGTATGCTATTTAATGTAATAGAGTGCTGGATGGAAAAACTTGCATTTAAATGGCCTGTATGACTGTATCCACGATTTAGTATTAATTTTCCTGTAAACCTTTACTGGGGAAAAGTTTATAGAGAGCCTAGGTTTTAAACAATCAAATTAGAGCCTATCTTAAAGATTTCACTAGAGGTTGTTTTGATGCCTAAATATCTTTAAATTGATCATCTCCACATCAAGATGCATGAACTTGAGAAAAAAATGGATTTCAAGTTTTGAAAATAGTGCACGTATTTTTTGGACGGTCAATTTTTAAGTTATTCAAGTTTTCATATATCTGCTTGATCGACACTATTTTTGAAGCTTTAAATTTTATAATTAAAGATTAAAATATGGGTGTGGTTTCTATAAAGTTGCAACCTTAAACAATCCAATTAAAACGTAATTTCAAATTTGATCACAACATATAATTTCCTTTTACAATATTCTTAAGATTATGTTAAAATCTATTTTCACATCTAATTAGAAAATTTAAAACTCCAAAAATGGTTAAAACCATATAGATCTTTAAATATATGACAAACCTTAAAAATGGACAGTCTAGATAATATATTGCAAGATGCACTATTTCTAAAACTCAAAAATGTGTTTTTTCATATTCATACATCTCAATGTCGAGATGATCAATTAGATAGTTTTTCAATATTAAAACTAACTTTCCTCATATTTTTGAAGTGCATATGTAATTCTACATTTTTCGGCTCCAACTTTATATAAACTTTATCTTTAAAATATATTTTAAAGGTAGTCAAAGATTTCCACCATTCAACCACATCTCTTAGACACTTTTTTAAGGTGGGCTTTAATTTGATTGTCTATTCGTAAAGGCACGTGTTTTGCCAATTTGCGTAAGAAACAATATAAGACATGAGCATCTATACTATGCTCCCTTAGGAGCGTAGTCTACTTGTACTCCCATAGTCGGAAGGACAACTTGGGAGGATTCTTTTTAATGTAAAATTTTAAGAACCACCTGAAAGCCAAAATATTATTATTCTCACAAGAAAAAAAAAATTGAAAATTGAAATGTTTAACACACTGATCTCACCATCCAATTTTTGGATGGTGTCTATTCAAATTTAAAACATTATTATTTTAGGAAAAAGTTTATATAGAGTCGAGGCTCTAAACAATCAAATTAGAGGCCACCTAAAAAATTTCACTAGAAAAGGTTATGTTGATGTCTAGACATCCTTAAATTGATCATCTCGGCATTAAGATATATAGACATGAGAAAAAAATAGATTTCATGTTTTAGAAATAGTGCATTTTATAATGCATTTTTAGACCGTTAATTTTCAAGTTTTTATAGATTTACTCGATTTACATTATTTTTGAAGTTTTAAATTTTATAATTAAGTATAAAAATATATTTTAAGGCTATCACAAAGATTTTAAATCACTTTTCTCAACACTATTTGAAGGTGCACTTTATTTTGATTATTTAGATCCTCTCTATACAAAGTGCACCTATTTTTTTAAGTTCAAAGAGAGTGCAATTGGGAAATTGTTTTATTGAGGTTAAAATATGAATCAAAGAGGCTATATTCCCAACATTTGGAGACCTATTGGTTGAGTTTTACCAAAGGGGATAATTGGATAATATACTCCCATGGAAGCACAATATCTTTTGGCATAACTAAAACAATTGGCTCTCATCCTGTGATGAGGTGTGGGTACAATAAAACTTCATCGTGGGTTTTATGTGGTACACACACGTGGCTCTTCCGTGCCCATCTCTCCCTCTCTCTGAAATGGATGTTATTTATAGCTCAGTGAAAAATGGCGGTCCACTCATAAAATTCTCTTTTAGAGAATGCAACTAGGCTTTGTTTTCTTTAATTATTAGGCCAAATTTCTGCAGCAATGAGGATGGCTTAATTGCTACGGAAGAATCCATTGAGTATTCAAACAAAAGATTTTGTGAGGGAACCGGTTTCTATGGCCAAGCCTGCCTATGGAGAAATGTGTGCCTCTTAATAAATATATTTTTGAAATGGATTTTAAAACTTAATTTTTAAAGATATATAATCTCTAATATAGAAATCATGAATATAAATAAATAAATAACTTTTTAAAACTAGAAATAATAATTATATTCAGAAGACATTTGGACTGTTTGTTTATATTGTTTTTAGATGCAACACCTACTCGCGTCCATATTTAAGATGTATGCTCACTTTTTGGGCCCCATATGTAAAAATGCGGTCGAGCCCGCATGAAACAATTTTGCTTTTGAGAAATGAATGGTAGGATTCTTTCATATTTAATGAAAGATCTGAGATAATTGACATCCGAGAAATCAATTGAAATTTAATTCTGTCAGTCAATGATTTAGCTATTATCTTAGTTTGTTTTTAGAAAAAATTACATTTGGACCATATAAAAGGAGGTCTATTACAGTTTGGTATCCAATATGCTCAATATTAACAGCACCACTCCCAACCTTTTTTTTTGTCCCAAAGTTGCTCTCTTGTCCAGTAATGAAAACACCGGTCAATGAGTTATTCTTTCCACACAAAAAAATACAATCTCTCTAGCCAGACTCTCTATCTCTACCCGCCAACTCTCTCTACCCACCCTCACTCTCTTTCTCTCTCTCTTAGTCATGTTGCTTTCCAGCACCCAGCTTCTGTTGTACTCAAACCAGTTGGGTACTTCCTATCTCTTAAACACAAAAGAAATGCCACTCTTTCTTGGAAATCATCAACTATTATTTTCTCTTCGATGCATAGTAGAATTACACCATTTGCTAAGAACATATCACAAGAAAAGAAGTGCGATAACGAAATCATGGTACAAAACGCTCTTATCTATGATTCTTGGAGCAAAAATAGTTAGAAAATCATGAAAAGGAGCATAAAAATCTACAAAAGAAAATGATCTTGCTTTGAAAAGTAAATAATATCTATATTATGGCGAGAGACTCGGTAAACCTCAGTTTACCGTTTTCTTCTCATTCAATTTGTATAGATACCTATAATTAAGGGATTGTAACCTTTTGGATTTGTCTTACTGTATAGATCCCTATAACAATGGGACTTCAAACTCTTGTATTATTACAAATACCCTTTTTTGGGGAGTACGCATTATTGAAAAATTTGTTTCCATTCAAATTGCTCTTCCAAAGTTTCACATGGTATCAGAGCGAAAAACTTTTTCGGCAAGCTGTGATGATTAGGTGGAGATAGTGTTGAAGAAGGCCATTAGATAACCATCCTGCGTACTATGTTGAAGACATTAGCCCCTCAGATTTCCACTTAGGTTTTGAGTTTTGGAAGACTATTGAGTTGCACACACATGCAATATATATTTTCAGAAGAGCCATTCCATTGATAGCCAACTGCAAGGTCGTCCTAGTGTTTGCGATGCTCTCTTCATTGTTGCTCCGCACTGTTTGCAATAGGACCCATCTCTCTCTCTAAGGTTTTCGAAACCGCTTTTTTAGGTTATTGGGTATTCAAAATTGGCCGTGTTTTTTGGTAGCGCGGCTTTCTCTCTCTACCCACTGCTGCTTTAGAGAAAGCAAGTTTCTCAGCCCTTCTTCGTAGCACGAGTCTCTCTCTCTACCTGCAGTCTAGAGAACGCAAGTCATAAAACAAAAAAAAAAATTCTCTACCGTTATTTTCCCTGCATCTTTCTTTCTTTTTCAATCATGTCCACTGTATCTCCCTTCTATCTTCATCACTCGGACAACTCGGGAATGTTGCTGGTTTTTCAATAACTCACCAGAGAAAATTATCCATTCTAGAAGAGAGCCATGAAAACTGCTGTCGATGCCAAGCACAAACTTGGTTACATCAACGGCACTATTGCTCAGCCAGAGGAAGGTGCATCCAACCAGGCTGCCTGGAGTCGTTGCAATAACATGGTCTTACCCTGGATTTGGAACGTCGTCAGCAAAGATCTCACAAACAACATTATCTACTTTGAAACCGCGTAAGAAGCATGGAAGGACCTGCAAGAACTTTTTTCACAAGGTAATGCTGCTCAGATTTATTGCATTACTCGTAACATTTCAAATAACGTTCAGGATCAGCAGACTGTCCTGCAATATTTTACCACACTTAAAGGATTTTGGGATGAGATTGATTCCCTAACTCTCACCCCAAAATGCTCATATGTTGTTGTCAAAGAAATCACCCAATTGAAACAAAATGAAAGGGTGTTTCAGTTCTTGATGGACCTGAATGACTCTTTTTCCAATGTGAGGAGCAATATCCTCACTATAGATCCATATCCTTCCATGAACAAAGCATATGATCTTCAAGATGAATGACAAGGGGCAGTTCAACTTCGATCTGCACATCCCTTGGAAGGAGCTGCCATGGTTGCGGGTTACTTCGGTGAAAATGGTTGTGGCAGAGCTCATTCAGACAACGATTATGCCAACCAATTCTGCGGAAGAGGCAATGGATGCGGAGGCCGAGGATGCGACAGACCCTGTTGTGATCACTACAGATATTTTGGGTATGTACGGGATCAATGTCACAAACTCCATGGATGGCAAGCTCCTCATAACAATGCCACTGCTATAAACGCTAGCAACAAGGACAACAATAGATAGGCCGAAAACTCTATAGTTGTTCACCTCTCTCCAGACCAACATTCCCAACTTATGTCCTTGTTGAACATTGACAATAGCTTATCATCAAGTATGACTATGTCTTGTGCTTCTTTACCATCCCTTTCATCATCATAGATCATTGATACAGGGGCATCTGATCACATGGCAACCTCATTAGACCTTTTGTCAAGCAAAAATACCATGCATCCAAACCAGAATGTCAGACTTCTAAATGGTGATATAGTTAACGTTTCTCATAAAGGAAATTGCTCCCTTTACCATCATTACAACTTACTGATGTTTTATATCTACCTTCTTTTGACTTGAACCTATTATCCGTGAGTAAGCTAACCAAATCTCATAATTGTGCTGCTATTTTTTTCCCTAATTTCTGTGTATTCCAGGACCTAGCAACGAAGTCGGTGTCTGGTCTGGGTGAAGAACGTGACAGACTTTATTTCTACAAGGACCCAAGAATAAAAAGTTTCTGCAATCAAACTTCATCTTTTCAACTCTGGCACAACCGCCTTGGTCACCCATTGAACCAGCGCTTGAGGCAGTTATCCAAAGACTTATCTTTTTCTTTTTCAGAAAATAGTTGTTGCCCTTGTGAAATTTGCCCTGTGGCCAAGCAAACTAGAAATCCATTTCCTTTGAGTTCTAATAAAAGTTTTGTTCCTTTTGAGCTTATTCATTGTGATATTTGGGGAGTATACTCAACACCAACACACACTGGGGCACGCTGTTTTTAACTATTGTAGATGATTTTAGCCGTTGCACCTTTTTAATGAAATTCAAAAGTGAGACATTTTGCCTATCAAAAACTTTTATGCTATGATTCAAAACCAATTCAACTCGACCATTAAAACCCTTATATCCGACAATGGCACTGGATTTCTCGCTCATGGAATGCAAAGTTTTATGAGTGAGAAAGGCATCTTACACCAAAGATCTTGCATCAACACCCCCCAACAAAATGGAGTGGTTGAACGCAAGCACAGGGATCTACTTGAAAAAGCTAGAGCCCTTCGCTTCCAAGCTGGCCTACCCATCATTTTCTGGGGTATTTTAATCACCACATACTAATAAACTGATTACCTTCCTCTAGTTTACAAGGACGTTAACAACATGAGGCATTGTTTAACACTAAACCTTCCTACCAACACCTATGTGTGTTCGACTGCTAGTGTTATGCGCACACCAAAGTACATGATAAGTTTTTTCCTCATGCTACGCAAGTGTATCTTTACTGGTACCCTTACGGTCAAAAGGGATACAGGCTATTTGACTTAGATGACCACAAATTCATTGTCAGTAGATATGTCACTTTTCACGACACTATCTTCCCATTTCTTATTGAGAAAGGAAAAACCAAGGACCTCTCTCCTTCTTCGTCTATGCCCTTCCCACTCATTGAGGACATTAAGATAAATCCCCTTCCTTCACCTCCTCAATTAGCTTCTGTTGTGCCTTCTTCTCCTTGCCCCAACCCTTCCACTCAACTTCCCGAATTGCCACCACGTACCCCAATTACGGATTTGCCATCAGCTGAACCAACGCCATTGGATCCAATCGCTCCTACCAATGAACCGCCTCGCAAATCCTCAAGAGCGTCTCGTCCGCCCCGGTGGCTTGCAGATTATCAATGCTCTTCAACACTCTCTTCACCTACGACCAATACCACATCTTTGCATGGTATCACCTATCCCCTTGCTCATTACATCTCTTATGATAGATTTTCCTCCTCATATCGTGTCTTCCTTGCTTCCATATCATCTAACCATGAGCCCAGAAATTTTACCATTGCCATGAAAGGTGCCCGCTGGAGAGATGTCATGACTGCCGAGATAAGAGCGTTTGAATCTAACTATACTTGGACTGTCACACCCTTGTCACACGGTAAACATGTCATTGGGTGCAAGTGGGTGTACAAAATCAAATACCATATAGATGGAAGTGTTGAACACTACCAAGCATGGCTTGTAGCAAAAGGTTACATCCAAGCCGAAGGCATTGATTACCACGAGACATTCTCTCCTGTGGCCAAACTTGTCGTTGTACGATGTCTCCTTGCCATTGCAGCTGCTAAATCCTGGCCTTTGTACCAATTAGATGTCAACAATGCGTTCCTCCACGGTGACCTAGCTGAGGAAGTGTACATGCAATTGCCCCTTGGATTTCCTAAAAAAAGGAAAGGATGGAGCATGGAGAACAACTTGTTTGTCACCTAAAGAAATCCCTATACGGCCTCAAACAAGCATCTCGAAAATGGTTTTCCAAATTCTCTACTTCCCTTATTCAGGCAGGTTTTCAATAATCCAAGGCAGACTATTCCATGTTCACTCTCAGAACTCAAGACCAGATTACAGTCATTCTTATCTATGTTGATGACATCATTCTCTTATCTATGTTGACGATATCATTCTCACCGGGAATGATCATTCTACAATTGATTCGATAAAACAGATTTTTCACCATCTGTTCAAATTAAAGGATCTCGGATTCCTTAAGTATTTTTTGGGAATCAAAGTAGCTAGATCGAAAGAGGGAATATTTCTCTCCCAACGAAAATACACTTTGGATATTTTTGAAGAAACAGGCTTACTCGGGGCAAAACCCGCCGCATTTCCAATGGAACAAAATCTGAAACTCAATGCAAATGATGGAACTCTTCTTTTAGACCCAAGCTCTTATTGACGACTTGTTGAGCGCCTAATTTACTTAACCATTACCCAGTTGGAAATCACATTCTCTGTCAATGTCCTCAGTCAATTCATGCAAACACCGAGACAACCTCATATAGATGCAGCTATGCGTGTTCTTAGGTATTTTAAATCAAATCCTGGAAAAGGCATCCTCATGCCATCGTCAACTTCCATATTGCAACTCAGACTGGGCTAACTGCCCTACTACCCGTCGTTCTATAACCGGATATTGTACATTTCTTAGTAATAACCCCATCTCTTAGCGAACCAAGAAACAATCCACCGTATCTTGCTCATCTGCCGAAGCCAAGTATTGGGCCATAGCAACCACTACGTGTAAGCTCATTTGGCTTAAAAATCTCCTTCAAGATTTAAGAGTTCCACATTCACAGCCCATGCTCCTCTACTGCAATAATCAAGCTGCCCTACACATTGCATCCAACCCTGTGTTTCACGACTACACCAAATACATAGAGTTGGATTAAGGCATCATCCAAACTCAATATCTTCGAACAAGTAATCAACGAGCATATATATTTACAATCCGAGTTGGGTGTCATCGACTTACACACACCAACTTGAGGGGGAGTATTACGGCTAGAGACGTAGTAAACCTCAGTTTACCGTTTCCTTCTCATTCAATTTGCATAGATCCCTACAATTAAGGGATTGCAACCTTTTGGATTTGTATTGTTGTATAGATCCCTACAATTACGAGATTTCAAACTCTTATATTATCTACAAATACCCCTTTTTAGGTAGTACGCATTGTTAGAAAAGTTGTTTCCACTCAAATCTCTCCTCCAAAGTTTCACAAATCTTGTGTTATTTCTCTTCTTCTCTCTGTATTTTCCATTTTTGAATCTTAACTTGGTATTAGAGTAGGTTTGTACAAATTTTTTTTGGGTGATCATTCTAATTGTGCGTTCTCTCTCTCACCTTTGCCGATTCTCTCTTGAGTTCCTCCACCTCTGCCTTATCTCCCCCGATGCCCCTCGCAAATTCATCACACTACTCTTCCATCAACTCTCTCTCACCTTTGAGACTAGTTTTGCATGTTTGTTGCACTATGACTCCCATTTCTTGTCCAATATTTTAGCCATATAAAGAAACAAACCAAAAATCCTGTTAAACGCCTCTACACAGGACTCACACGACTAGATCAAAAGCTACCAAGAAAATCGTTTCATTGAGACACAACTTTAAAGACAAGTGCAATAACGGTCGGGATACATATGATTAAATGTTTTCGAGTGGAAATAATGGTTTGGGGATTTTGTTTTTTGGTGAATATCATAAACTTTATTATTGAAATGTACATACAATGAAATTATTACATTGTCGATAACCGAAAAAAAAGTTAAGAACGCACCATACTTGGTAAAAGTATCAACCTTGACATTTTTTTCACTATAAACACGTCGAAAAGAAATTGACAAAGACTCAGTGAGTTGAGTAATTTGTAACAAAAAATATCTCAGTTTCCACGGAATCCTTTATTCCTTATTGCACCACTTAATAACATTTAGAGAGTCTCATTCCATAAAATAGTTCACACCTAAGCTTTCTTATTTAAAAAGACACAGCCCGTAACGTAGTGCAATAATTTCAATATGGTTGGCAGTAGCCACTCGAATAGGACCAGTATACCAAAAAAAAGAGGACTCATACCAGTCCCATACCACCCCTGTACTTGCTAGACCCGGATTACCAAGTGAATTGCTGTCAAAATTAAGTTTGAAACAACCATATGGAGGACGACAAAAATATCTCTCTTTGAATATGAACACCATGTGATGCAGTATAAAATTCATCGACAAACAACATCGAAAAAAATAACCACGTTTAAGAGAGAGAATTAAAAATCGAGAAGGAAATCACAAGAAGAAAGAACAAAAATGGGCAAATACGAGTATTCCAGCACGGGCACATAATCACAAGAAAAGAAACACACCCACAAATGGGCCTCTCTCTACATAAAGAATTTTTTTTTTATTCATAAAATTCCATCTCCTTTTACAATGGCGTGATCCCTTTTTATAAAGGGTTCTCTTCTCTTCTTAACAAAAGAAAGCTCCTATTTTTTCATAAAAAGATAACTATTCATTTTCCCTGTAGGTGCAAAATATGCCCTAAGGGCTACAGAAGTCCTTGTGGAATAAGCCAAGATTTTGTAAAAGTCGCATATCCTTGGCCTCGAACAAGAGTGGCCATGATACTCCGGACATGTTCCCCAAGTTTCGCCCCAAATAGGTGGGGCAGCGAAGAGATAGCAAGAAGATACAATCAGGAAGTACTATACTGTGTGCATGTATGTGTTAGAAAATAGGGAGGAAGAAGGTTTACTTGAATTTATAGTTATGCACACAAACGAGCTCAATTCAACACAATTTCTTCACTCTACTTGTACAAAAATCATAATATATGTATATATAAACCACTTAGGAGCTTTCTAGACTCTTTCTACACTATTCTAATGAAGTTTTCCCTCTCATACCTTTCAACTTCTATGCATGGACCAAATTATAAGATTATTCAAGAAAATTCTAGACTTCACTCATTTCCAATTTAAATTTGCATGCATTGCATGCTTTGGACTCCCCTCTCTCAATCATGGGACTCTTCTCTCTCAATCTTGGAATTGTGGCCTTGGAACTCTACACAATTCTTTTACATCGTTCCAAATTATTCTTAACATAACTTTCTCTAAATGTTCCTTACATTTAAATCTAATACCCAAAATACCCTTGAACATAATCAAGCTTATTTTTAACATCCCCCCCTTAAGATTGATTTTTCAACTTGGTTACTCTTAACATAACTTTCAATTTTTGAAACAATTCATGTTTGAGAGGTTTATTTAAAATGTCGGCAACTTGATCTTGTGTCTTTGTATAAACAAGTTCAACATTCTTCTCTTTCACTTGGCCTCGAATAAAATGGAACCGTGTATCAATGTGCTTGCTTCTCTCATAAAACATCAGGTTCTTTACTAACGCAATCGCTGACAAGTTATTTACATGGATTTTGGTGGGAATCTCTTCAGGCTTTAAAAGTTCTTTAAGAAGATTTTGCAGCCACAATGCATGACAAGTACTTGATGTGACAGCTACATACTCGGTCTCACAAGTTGATAGTGTCACGATCGGTTGCTTCTTTGATGACCATATGAATATCGTACTCCCCATGTAGAACACGTACCTGGAAGTGCTTTTCCTATCATCCAAGTCTCCGGCCCAATTGCTATTAACAAAACTTACAAGATCACAAACATTAGAACATGAATAGAATAAACCATGGTCAAATGTGCCCTTGATATACCGGAGAATCCTTTTTTTCGCTTTCTAGTGAGAGGTATTTGAAGTCTCCATGTACCGGCTTACTAAACCAGCTCCATAAAGAATATCTGGTCTTGTACATGTTAGGTATCAGAGGCTTCCCACTAAACTTTAGAAAAATGTAGGATCATCAACCCTTTCTCCATCACTTTCTTTTATCAATTTTAGACCACTTTCTACAGGTGTATTTACCGGATTACAATTCTCCAATTTAAATTTATTGAGAATTTCTTTTACATAAGATTTTTGTGACATAAAATTCTATCATCCATTTGTTTAACTTCAATACCAGGAAAATAAGACATGAGACCAATGTCGGTCATTTCAAACTCCTTAATCATAGATTCTTTGAATTCTTTAAATATGCTCGAATTATTTCCCTTATAGATCAAGTCATCAACATATAACCAAACAAGAAAATATCTCCATTTTCATTTTTCTTTATGTATAGGGCAAGTTCGTATGGGCACCTAGAAAAACCATTTTCAAGAAAATATTTATTAATTCTACTATTCCATGCCCTAGGTGCTTGTTTTAAACCCTACAAAGTCTTTGTCAATTCATAAACTTTAGTTTCTTGCCCTTTGTTCACATAACCAATTGGTTGTTCAATATACACATCTTCTTCAAGAACACCATTTAAAACTTCCGATTTCACAGCCTTTCGAAAAAATTTCCATTTCATTTGGGCTGCAAGAGGAACGATTAATCTAATAGTTTCCAAATGAACAACGGGGGCAAATGCCTCATCATAGTCAATTCTGGGTCTTTGCTTGTACCTTTTAGCAACTAACCTTGGTTTATACCTTTTGATAACCCCATTAGCATTTCTCTTTGTCTTGTAAATCCATTTCACACCAATTGATTTGTGGCCTTTAGGAAGTGTTGTAAGCTCACATGTATCATTCCTCTCAATTGCTTCAATCTCTTCATCGATGGCCTTTTTTTACACTTTACTTTTACACGCTCCATCAAAATAAATAGGATCCAAATCTGCATAAAGAGAAAGCAATGTGAGATCTTCATATTCAGCATCAAGCCTACGAGTAACCGAATAAATTTCTTGAAGGCTTTTTGTTTTCATGGGCCTATGAGATGAACTGCTAGTTAAAGTAGCTTGGCCACTAGAAGAAGCATCATGAATAGGTTTCAAAGACCCTTCTTGATGCTCAACTTGTCCCTTTTCTT